TAGTGGTCAGTTCTATGGCTATTTACTAGAAAATGGAGGTTGTCTAGAAATTAGTTAATTTTCGCAGTTTGTGCACCATAGTGATTGAGTAGGTCTCGGATTTTCCGAAGATCTGGATAGAATTCGTTGACAATGTTGTCTTGGCATTTTTATGAAACAAATAAATAAATTCTTTGCAACACGTGCGTGCGTGTATAAGTTAATTTAATCCGTTGCAGCAGGATACGTTTGGGTGTTTGATCGACTGATTGTTACAAAGATTGATATAATCCCTAATTAAAACAATTACGTAGAACAGTTTTTTTAATTATATTACACGTGTGAATATCATTTTTTAATATGAACTTTACCATACGAAAGTGATAAATCTTTTAAATCTAATTCTTTTCTCTGTGGTAATTTATCGAACTTAAAAATAATAAAACAGATTAAAAAGTATGCTTTTTAATTCGTCGTGAGGATTTTTATAACCTAAAAGGGCTAACTTGTGAATAATTTGTGTAATATCTTGAAATTTTGACACGAGCAGTTAAATGCAATGATAATGCATTGATTTATGTATTTAACTTTTTCAAAATTCAGAATATTCACCAAGGAGATGCGATTCTAAGAAAAACATAATAAAAATTTCGAATATGTCAGTGTCAGTGCCACACCAATAACCAGTAAAATATACGCACATACACACGATTTAATTGGTGCAGATTTTCACTGCACAATGATGAATAACCCTCAAAACAATAGAATGTGCACAGGTGAATATTACTAGATTATTCGCACAATATATAATAAATTGGCCAATTATATTACTTAAAAAAATCATAATAATTGATAAGGGACTACAAATATATTTAATTAGTTGACGTACGTGTATAGGTGAAATTAATACATTATAGGTTTAATCGCGAGCTAGTATTAAGCATTTTGAAATACTGTAATTTATGATACGATCTTTCATTTCATCGTATTTAACAGACAAGCTGTTAATTTTTCCATTTCAATCCAATATTACAATAGAGATAGTTCGAAGTAAATTAAGTGTTAGAGTTTAGCTCTCGTTAGTACAACAAATAATGAAAGTTAAAAGAAAAAATCAATAAAGAAAATACAATTTATAAAAACAATTTATAAACAATATTAAATTGAATGTTTTACATAATACATAAAGAATTTTATATATTAGCGTTAGCATCTAAAGTTATAATTTGAAATCTGACAATCAAAGAATCAAATATTTTGACCTTAGCATCTAAAGTTATAATTTGAAATCTGACGTACGTATACATTATCAGGATGCTTAATTTTCAGAATCTGATTAATGAAAAATTAGCAAAAGACACCAAGAACAATTGAGACATGTAAAATTTCATGTACCGTATTACCGCGAAATAACGACCATGGGCGTTATTTCGAGGTTCGGCCCGAATTGAATTCATAATTTCACCCCTGCGCGTTATTTCGCGGTAATACGGTACCTAATTTAAATCAAAAAATTGCATATATAGAAGCATTTAATAATTCTGAACACCAGCTTCACGAATTTTTTTTTATAAAATTATTAAGTAGGAAACTACATGAATCTACATGAACTTATATGACTTTCCATAATATCTTGCAAATATTTTAGGACCTTCAGTAATATTACACAAAATGAAACATAAATTTACATAAATTGTTAAGTGACTTTACACTTACATAAATTTATATCAAGCAATTACATAATATTATTATCATCTATGTGATGTTACGTATATGGACCTTCGAAGTTCGCGAAGAGGTCAACTATGAATCAATTCAAATCTTAAAATTTGGATTATAAGAAGCCTGGACACTTTATATCAATACTACGCGTGATTAAAAATTTAATAATAATAATAATAATTTCTCACGAGACATAATTTTATTATTGTAAGTTTTTAAAAATTTTGGCATTTTTAAGTCTTTAAAGAATTATATTTGTCATAGAGCGCGTCCTAAAAATTAATATTATTAAAATAGAGTTTGCCTCTTCTTTGTAAATGACCTCTGCAGGGAAGGGTCATAAATATAAAAAGCTATTTTTTGATCTCAAAGATCGGACAACTTTATTGTCGCGAATAGAACCCTGTTAGAAAATTAACGGTTTAAAAGAAAGTTACTTCTTTTATTATCACTATTATCACTATTATCATGATTTATAATTTTTAATGAAATCAGAAAAAAAAGGTACAGTAATTATTCTAGAAATAACGCCCAGTGCGGTATATGGATATATTTTGTAGTGAGTCAACACTTCACAGATATTATTATAAAATTAAGACATTATTGACCAACTCCATTGTTGTAAAGAGGGAGAGACTTTGCTAACATGAGATCAAATTAATTCAGGGTTACAAACATAAGTTATGCGGGATGGATGTTTATTAAAGGATTTGGAATTAATGATAATGGGTTATTAAGGAATATATTTTAGTTGATATATGATTCATAAGGTACGTTATTACATGACTTATTTATGCTACACATCTTCTCTTTATTAGTTTAGGTGTTCAATAACTTCAAACCCATATCTTGGGTTTCAAACTATGCACAGTCACTATATAACGAAAACACTAACAAAATACAAGAAAAATATATACAAGAAAAAATTTAACAAAAATTTTCGTAACATCATCACTACTTTCTACGCTACTAATATTACGTGCCTTGATCACATACACATAATAACCTATAACATTATGGATATAAAAATAAAAGTTCATCTAATTTTTGACGATTTTTTTTTTTTTTAAAAAAAATGTTAACTTTACACAAGACACTCTCGTTATAGTGAACCACTCGAAAACCAGTTTATATAAAAAGCCTCTCGATATGGTGAATTTACTAATAGACTTTCGATATAGTGCTGTAGTGAAGAAAATCTTACAGCCCATCATTTCACTATAACGAGTGACTTGTAATTTTTCTAACCATTGTTCCTATGATGATGCAAAGTTTTACGTGCGTGCGTACGTACGTACGTATACAATACGTCATACGTATCTGGTATGTTGAAGTTCAATATTATATTTAACTGTTTGATAGACTGCCAAAATATACAACTAAATAAATGTATTTTAGCGATGTTAGAATCTCTAATTAAGTGTATATTTACGATAGAATTTGAAACAGATTTTATTTTTCATAACAGAAGATAAGTTAAAACTTGTTCCGACTCTATTTATTATGATAGAATCCTAACCTATTCGAATCACATTATTTGAACACGTACATACGTACGTGCGTACGTGCTTACGTGCGTTCATAAACGCGTACGATAATCTCAAAAATGTTAGTGAATCTTTTTAGAATCTAAACCAGATCAGACCTTTTTACGGCACCAACAATGAATACTAATTGAAGTTATATTAATACAACACGAGGTTAAAGAAGTTAGTTATTTACTTATAGTTCTGATTTGATTCTTGCTGTTAATATAAGTTCATAAAATTTAAAAAATTTAAAGTCAACTTAATAAGGTTATCAAAGCTTTATGTTCTAATTTAATATCGAGAAAAAAAAAAAAAAAACAACAGCTTTGATGATACAGTATTTTGCCAAATTTTGTTACTAATACGTATGAGAAAAATAAATTCATATTCAACGTTCCTAAAATTTTTTTTATTGAAGCAACTTTTTGAAACCCTTCTTATGCTCAACACAAACAATTTCATTTCTTTAACATATTCTTATTACTAAATGAAAAGTAATACGTAAAAGAAATTAAATGTTGCTACAGCATGTTTGATCCACTGTAATTTGCAGATATGATCTCTTTTTCTAAAAAATTTATTAAATAATATATATTTATAATAATTACATACATTCAACTTGCTTATTCAATTTCATATATTTATTACAATATTTATATAACGCTAGGTCAAACAAAGAACTACTTTTTTTTTTTTTTTATTAACCATTATTCAATGATTTGTATGTTAATTAGTAATTAATTAGGGATGTTATCGGCTCAATCCGACTTGTATATTTAATTATTATAAAAACCGATTAATGAATAGAGCCGAACGAGCGGTAACACCTCTATAATTAAAATCTCAACGATTTATGTACTGATGTAATGTTTATTTAAATGGTAAAGAAGTTATGGTAATGAAGGTAACGGCTATGATTAAGAAAATAAAAAGCGTGGTCAAGACAAAGAAGGTGAATGCGAAGAGTATGGAGGTGAATATGAAGGAAGAATACGGTCGTAATTATGAAAATAAATGTAAACAGAAAGCGTGGTCAAGGCGAAGGGGATGAAGGTAGATGAAGATGAATTAAGAAACGTGGTCAGGGCGAAGAAAGTAAATTTAAGGATAAAATTTTTAAAAATTAGCTAATTGAAATCAATAACACTAAATCACACCACTGGTGTTCAACACCACATATATTTTTTAATAGTTTCACTAGTAAAATTTAGGGTAGTATTAGAGGTAAAATTTTAGATTAATATAAGGTTTTTGGGGGTGCTAAACATTTTTACTTAGAACACCCAACATTAATTATTTAGCTAATATATCAATCAATTGGTGTTGATATTAAATCTAGAATTATTATAAATTATATTAAATAATTGCTATCAAAAGAAGACGCCATTTGTTCTGACAGAACAAATTTTATCATCAAATATCGATGTTATTGTGCAATTATGATAATGATTTACAAGTCATTATTGGCTAACTGAGTTTTAATTCGAGATTGTTGTGCTTATGTAATAACGTACAAAAAATAACAAGAAAAAATCTATGATCATAAGAGTTTGCACGATAAAGTACTATATATGACTTAATTAGTTTTCATTAACAAATTTGTGCCTAAACCCTAGTTATACTGTATGTAGGAAATTGTCGATTTGGATTCTCCGGTTGATTATCAAATTAAATTAATTTTTCGGTTTTATATATATTAGGTAATTATACTGTAAAAGATATTAAATTATAAATAAAACTAGGTGCTAAATACTATATATAGCGTTGTGCTCATGTCCCTGCAATGTTCATGTCCCTGTAATTAATAAAATCTCGCAAGCACTTTAAACAATCTTAATGCAAAAAAAAAAAAACGAAAAAAAAACAATACAGTAATAATCATAATAATAATTATATATTATTATATACAATAGATTATATTATTATCTAATACATCAATAGTAAGTACGATGTTTTGAATACAGCTAAAGAATAGGCTAACCTTAATTACACAAAAAATTTAAGACAATTCATATGATTGTCTTGACAAGCTTCGGGTACCATATACAAATTTATATTGATATTTACATGAACGATAACCAGGTACGCGAATCAATTCATAGGGCTAACACCCGAATCCGTTATCATTTATTCCTAAGTTAAACCTAACATAGTAATTTTACTTACAGCCCATTTCGTACAACGTACGTATTACTTTGAGATCATTTTTTGCAATTAAAAATTTAACTAAAGGCTAATATATATTTGATATGATTTTGGAGAATCGTAAAAAAAAAAAAAAAAAAGTTTGTAACACAAATAAAGAGCTACGGAAATAATGACCTATACAAAAAAGGAACATTTGTGGTAATTTTAAATACGTGTATCGGGATATCAAAAAATTCGAATATTCGATTTTTATTATAACACAATTCGAATTGAAATTTTTAATTAGAAAAACGTTGTTGATCGATCAAAATATTTGAAAATAATAATTTGAATTGTTTTAGAGTGTTAAAAATTCGTTGTGCACGTATTGTTATTTGCACAAAATTAACAATACGCTGTGCAAAAGCACAAAAAATAAAGTAACATTTATGTATAAAAAAATTTTCTTGCACAAAATGTTTGTGCCGAATTTTCAACATACCATTTTCCTAAATTAAAGAAATTCGAATTTGTAATTCCGAGCATTATTATATTTTCGATGAAAATTCGTGATTTGCGTAGAAGAAATAACATTCACACATTAATAAATAGAATTCTCGGAAGTCACTAATTTTAATGATACCTCGGGTCAAAATAATTGCGTTTCTTTTTTTTTTCATTCCATTCAAAAAATTAATAATAAAATGTTCGTACATTTTATTTTTTAAGAAAGCAAATTTACATTTGAATATTTCCGAGGGCAAAGTACAAAAATACCAAAACCTTTTAAAAAGCCTAAAATGTATATATATATATATATATATATATGTAAAAATAAAAACAATTGTTGTTAATTCTATATTGTACATACATGTATGTGGTGATAGAGGAGTGGATTTTTTTTTTCTTGCGAATCAACGAAAGAATCACTAGAAAATTTAAAGAAAGTGGGAAAAATATAGGACAAGAAATGCACGTGAAAATACTATAAAACAAATGCTAAAAATATCAATAATATGCTAATATAAACAAAATATAAACCAGTATATAACATACATGTATAAAAGATGGATATATATATATGTATATAAAAAAAAATAATAAAAGAGTGTAGAATTTAGAAATTTTGATTTTCTGTAAGATTTTTTTTTTCTTTTTTAGAAAAGATTTTTTAGGAGTCGGATGACAAATAAACAACATGAATCCGTAGGATAAGTTGTTATAATGAAGCAGGTGAAAAGGATAAAGGATTTATAATATATACAAATAAAAATGAATGTATGAAACGAGAGTGAATTTATATAAACATCTAGTTTTTTGGATGGTAAAATTGTTTTTAGGCTTTAAGGTTTGGAAAAACTACAAAGAATTTAGAGCCAAATCATCTAAACATGTACGGGACTACTGAAATAACATAATATTAAAATAATGTTAATATAATGTTAAAATAAGCTCGAAAAATTTGAAAGACAATAAATAAATATTATACGTACGGAAAGATAGATCTGCTCCATCTTCTAACCAAATAGCTCCAATATTTTGGATTTGTTTTAATAACTTGACAACCCATTGATTCATATAATTTCATTTGATTAAGGAAACCTGGGTTTGGGCTATAAAAAATTAAGACATGTTTAAAAAGTAAGTCAAATACAAATAAATAAATAAATAAATAAATAAATATATATATATATATATATATAAATATATTGATGAATATATAAGTGATAGGCATACCAAATAATAGGACGTTTTGACTTTACAAAGTGATAAGCAGCAGTGGAAGCCATTTGACTGTTTCTCATAATATAAGCAATGACGACTATATATGATTAAACGGTAATAAGTAAAAGGTTATAAGTTTTTTTTAAAAAAAAGGATAATAAAGAGAAAACTTACTTGTAGCGCTTCGTGATATTCCACGTTGACTATTCAAAAAAGAATATAGTGAATAAAAAAGTTTTATATTTTAATATAAAGTCGAACATATAAAAGACTTACCAATGAACAAGAACATTCCCATTCTCTTTTAATGCATGATAAATAAATTCATAAGAAGCATCAAAGTATTCCATTATATTTGTATTAGCACAGTCTCGTATTGGGATTGTTTTATACTTATAAGACTATATAACAATCGGGAAAATAGGAATAAATGGAATAAATTTTTTATTGGAATTCACATGTTAAAATATTAGAAATTTTAGAAATTTTAGAATTTAAGAAATTCAAGACTAACCTCTAGAAACTGTTGAGGAGGGTGATCTGTGACCGAAAGAATATGAGTAATATTATGATCCATCAACCATGCTCTATCAGAAGCTGCCAGTGTACTATTAATTAGCGAGAAAGATGAGCTTTTGTTTATTACTTTGTGACTAACTCAAAAGAATAAATAACTTTATTTACCTGCCCACATATAACCTCGGAAAGATTTCCGAAGCATACATATTTGTCAAGTAACCAATTTGATCATGATTCAATTCGAAATTTTCTTTTCTCCAGGAAATAACCATATTCCATCCATTGAGATTGTTAAATGTATTTGGGTCAGTAAAGTTCATTTTTCTTTTTTTTGTTTTTCTTTGTTTTTTTTTTTGTTTTTTTTTCTTTTATGTTTTTGTTTTTCTTTATTAAATCAAAAGAAGGATTGTCAGTTTTTTTTTTGTAAACGAAAAAAAAATGGAACAGTGAAAAAAATGGAAGGAATATGTTGTGAACGAAAAGGATATAAATATATAAGAATAAAAAAAATAAAAAATAAAGCGTATGAAGAAAGGAACCTATATATAACTATATATATACAAAACTATACATATATAACAATGATAAAAAAAAAGAAAAAAAGAATAAGGGTTTTTATTGATAATAAATGAATGTCTTCATATAACCCTCGTAAGCGAGTTATATCTAGGCCAAAAGAACGGCATGCATTGCTCCAATCGTATTTAAATTAAATTTCGTGGTCTGGCTGGTTTATTTGTTGTGTACCCAAAGAATATGCAATGATTTGGGGATACTAAAAATTTATGTAACCTATAATATTTTTAATATTTTTAATAATTTTATCATGATTCATTTGTTTTAATATTAAACACGTGGAATCATAAAAAGAAACATAGTGATTTGTTTCAACTACTATACAAGGACGTGACGATCAGTTAACAAAGAAATCTCCACGTGCGTATTTTCTGTACCACATATTATATTCCATTTTAGTAATCAATTTAGATTATCGCTTAATGAAATAACTTTGTTCCTAATATCGAATCTCAATTATTTCAATTATTTGCAGAATAACTATTAATTTTGCCACAAGTTTGAATAATTTTGTACATAAATTGAAGACGAATAATTTTATTTGGTTAACATTTCGGAATTTTAGAGGTTATAGTTACTGCACCTTTTTTAGCAGACAGGCTTGAAAATTCTAATCAGATGTTCACTCTTTGTTATGTTTTCTTAATTCTTAATACGTACTTTTGTAATTCTTACAGGTCTTCTAATCATTCTTGATTTGATATTAATCCTATTCTTTAAATAAGGTTAAACTTCTGCAAACTTTAGAGTTATCGTGACGCACGAAAAAAATGAAAAAACCGAAAAAAACCGTGTTGTGTATTCATTCCCGGTTAGTCACGTAACGCAACAATAGTAATGTAACTATAAATTTTCATTTATATGTAATTGTATGAATAGTATATTAATAATTGTTAACATTAAATTAATAATAGTAACAATGATTTATTGTATTAAAATACTGATTATACTGTAATTAATACAATTCATTTTCTGAATAAACTTCAAGTTTGTACTCGTTTCCAAACATTCGCGTATAAAATTATATAATGAGAAGTCTTAAAACTATTAATCTTTAATCTTTAATATTAATATTAATATTAAACTTCTTAAAATTTTTGTAAATAAAAAAAGATCCATTTTCGCTTTATTATTATCATTCTCATGTTCTCGGCGACAAAGGTTATTGGTTTTGAAAAAAAAATTATTTAGTTTGAATTTTAAAAAATTTTAAAGTTACGAAATCTTATTCTTTATTGCGTCATAATGTTTAAGTGTTACATTTTTAATCGGGGCGTTGATTTTTATCCTTGTAATCTCCCAAAATGGTACGTACCAATAAGCTTAACTTACAATGCATCATATTTAAACTACCTTCACGTCTTCATTATATATCGGCTCCGAATTTATCCTCGGTTAAATGTTTGTATGTACGCACATGTGGATTAATGTATTAATACAGTAATAAGCAGTAATAAGCAGTAATAAGCAGTAATAAGCAGAAGTAAGTTAAAGAACAAAGAATTTTTTTTGCTTTATTGCATTCAAATTGCTTATAAAGTTAATCAATAACAAGAGCGAATTCTCATTTAACTATAATTTATAGTACTAGAAAAAGTATCATAAAATTCTTATGAACAAAATTCTTAGTTTATTAACAAATAATATATATCTATTTTTTTTTTAAAAAAAAAAATAATATCCTGTTTGTATAGGGAATCATTTTTTTAATTTGATTAGCCGCTATTTTCTAAGAAATGCAAATTTTTTAGAGAAATTGACACGATAATATTTTTTACTTTAATATGATCTTCATTTACAGTATATTAATGTCTCGTAATATGATAATTAGCATCATATCAGTATCATTATCTGACACATGAAAGAAATTCAAATGATTAACAATAGAGATATAAACAGTACATCAACATATACGATCCAAGATCATCACTTGATTAGAAAACCGTGGTAAGTCTTTTTTGCCTTGCTTTCTGCCTTCAATAATGTTCTAATTAGTAATACTTAACAAGTTACTTTTGTTATAACAAAAATTTCAAAAATTTGCAATAATAATTTTAAACTACAATGCTATAAATGGATACTCAATAACTGTATACTTGGAGTTCACTTAAATTGAATTTGAATCTTAAAAAAAATACTTATGCACTACGAAATTTTACGCGAACATATTAGGTAATACAAAATACACTTTAAGTATCGTATTATTACAAAATATGTTCAAATCGATATTTTATTTTAATGAATTATTGTATTTCAAAAACTTTCCTAATCTAAGGATGTTCTCTAGCATCAATCTAGATGCAATTTTCTAGAGAACACAAAGTATTAAGACGTATTTTAGCTATTATCATAGCATTTTAGATAGGTAAATAGTATGTAAATAGTATCCAGGTCCCTTACATTCCTAAGTATTTATATGGGGAGTTTATGTAAGGGATACTTAAACATAATAAAGTTAACCAATCATTTAAGTAAACGCGAAAATACTTGGTCGCATATGTTTCAGATATACTCGGGTCTTTTAGAGTCGTGTTTACTAAACATAATTCAGGTACAAATCGTGGGGAGTATGCTAACAAGGAAGTACTATTTGCCGCAAATAATTATATTATATAATAAGAATTATGTTATTATTGAGATTTGCTTAAGCATTACATTTGTTATGATTTGCTGATAATTGTAATGATGCACAATTGCTGAATTGATCAAAATATGTACAGTAAAAAGACATCAATCAGTGCTTGAGCAGCTTTTATCGATTATATAAGAATCCGAATAACTGTGTCGATCGACAACGAAGCTCTATAACTCTATTTACTTCAAATAGTTATAGCTTTGCAAAAAAAAGAGACAACATATGGACGGATTTGACGCAAGTAAATAACCATGTGATAATACGGAAATTGTATATAAAAACAAATATTTTTATTGAATTTGCTCTGATTTATTCTTTTCTTTTTAGGGATGTCTAAAGTGGTGCAGATTCTTATTGAATTAAATATAGGCTTTGACTCATGGTAAGGTATACACTCAACACTCAATAACAATAATCCGAATCTTTATGTCGTACAAGTTATCAAATTAGGAAAAATTCGGATTCAGATCATTAAGACAGGATAATGCCGTGTTATATAAAATCTATTATTGCAGGGTCTTTATGTGACAACCCGTGCTTTTTTCATTTACTTTATTGGCGCAGGATTATTACGTCAGACACCGTGCAATAAGATAGTTATTGTACGGGTTTATTGAATAACCCACTTATACACACGGATTCATATTTAAATCTCGTACCTTCGGCACGGAATATGAATCAGTGTGTAACTAGTTTATTCACTATATACCCATATAATAACTATAAAATACACGGAAATCCGAATTTTTGATCCTGTATTTGCACAAATTTATATAGATATAAAAATTCGGATGTCTATTTATTAGATTTTTTACATATCAGAATTTTGTTTTTATACGAATTTGCATACCGTATTAACTTCAGATGTATAAAGCATTATGTGGCACAATGAATTTCATTCATTAATGACACTAATGACGGCACCTTTCATTGACAAATGACAAACCTATGACAAATGACAGACTTACAATGAATGATTAAGACATAAGGTTTTCCAATCCACAAAGTTAATTTATAGGTTTGCATTATCTTATCCAATAACTTTTTCTTTTTTCTTTTTTTAGACACACTATGCCTGATGAAACTGATGGATCCTGACAAAACCATAAAGTTTCGTCACTGACGAATGACGAAACTATATTTTTCCAGGTCACGTGCCAAGTTTCATCAGGTCACGTTGATTCGTCAAGCAATCATTAATCTCATTTAACAAACATTACCTTGAAACTAATAAAAATTAATGGCTTCAATTTTCACATAATAAGATTAAATTTAACTATTGTTTGTAGAGATGTGAACTGTAAATTACATACATATAAATAAACTGTAATTTATTTTAAATACAGGTTTACTATAAACTACAGTTTATTTATATAAACTAATGCTTTAAATGGTCAGTATTTCTTATAATTAACTAATGGTTCGGTAAAAAAAAAAAACAATTAAAATTATTAACAAAGACTAAAAGAATTAATATCCATATTTGAATTATCTGGATAATTCAGATTAGATAAACAGATAAGATACCAGATAACTCGGTAGATGATTGGATAATTATCTGGATATCAATAGTAAACGGGCCGGATGTATTATAATTATTCGGATGTATGCTAACCGGATTGGAAATCTAGCCTATATAATAAAAGGCAGATACTTAAGGTTCATAAAGAAGCTATTTGAAGAAAGCTGTTATATTTTAATATTTTATTAGCTGAATTGATTCATCAAGAGTTCCATCAATTGTCAGAAGTTCATCAAGAGTTTCACCAATTGTTAAGAGGTTCATTTTTGTCCTTGCAAAAGAATAGTTTCGTCTCAATTACCTGTGATAAATGAAATTCGGATATAATATGCATATACTGTACAATATAAGCATATATACCAGTAAGTATGAAACAAACTTTTTTAATTCGTATGACAAATTTTTGTAAAAGCCATAGTAAATGTGAAAAGCAGACAAATATTTTGAAATACAAAATTAGAATATAGATTAATATAAATATTAAGACAAATGTATAATACTGTAAAAAGCAGAGTGTGGTTTCTTTATATCTTATTAAAGTTATAAACTTTAAGACAATACTGAATTTCAAAAAATGATAATTGAGGCTCTATCCTACAAACGCCACCGTTTTATTGGTCTTACTTTGTTATCTTTTGTTGTCTATATATTTATAATTGAGTTGTGTCTAGTGCTCAGCACAATCAAATACTTGTGATTAAGTCGGACATCGAAACAATCGCAGAATAACCAATACTATATATAACATATATATATTTATGTATATATGTAGTATTGGTCCATCTGCAATTATTTGATTGTCTGATCTAATAACAAGCATTTGACTATCAAATTTTTGGTTGATTGTGCCCCGAACACTAGTTGTGTCAAATGATCTATTAGACTAATTAGCCAATTTATCATTTATGCGGCAGTTTAAAATAATTTCGATTTGTGAATGGATAAAATAATAATTATCGAAAGTGAAGTCTAGGAACGGGTTTGATTCAAAAGCATGCCCTAAAATTTATAATAGATATTGAAATAAAAAAAAAACAACTATCTATTGGCAAAATCTACACATTAGTTTGCTATCCTCTCTATAGAAATCATCTTTAAATTAAAATGCTCTACTGCTCAGTGTAATTCTTTTTGGATTCATATCAAAAAAATAATTTTATGACGAATAGATTTATTTTATGTTTTAATACCATTTTTTACACTTTAACATATTGCTCAAAGCACTATTTAATTGACTCATATTTTAATATAAGTTACAACTAAAAATATATTTAATTTATTTGCACTTTAACATATTACTAAACATTTAAATTATTTCGCACTCTAACATACTATTATAACATACTACTAAAAATTAATTAATTTCGCTCTTTACAGTTGTTTTCATAAATTCTGGGGCAACGATAAAAATTTGGCGAGGACTAGATTTTATTAGCGAGACAAAAGACTTTCCCCACGGTCCTGACGTTAAAGTTTTTACAGCCGTTTTCATTAATTTTGGGACATTTTGACCGAATGATTGTTTGCAACACATCCAAAATCAGTTTCGATTGAATGTATGTCCATTATGTTTAGTCTGTACGACAATTTATGACAAATATTGTTCTTGTCAACCAGCAGATCTTAACAAAAAACGTAAAAAAGGGTTCTGAATATAAGATAAGCTTCCATAATAAATATGTTACACGGGGAGGTGTGATAAAAAAAAGTTCGTTATGAACAAGAATTTATTGACTGAACTAAAGAAAATATAACTCAAGTTATAATTTCAACAAGCTTTTATTAATATTTTTCGAAATTGCATTGAAAATTATAATCAACAAAATCATGTAAAAAAATCTATAAAAATGGGTTATTTATTTATGTAATATAAATTATGATGAATTTTTAAAATATAGACCCAAAAGCAAATCAGTGTGAATCAGATTAAAATATTGGAACGTTTGATCTAATATAAAAATTTTTTCAACCGATTCGATTAAGTTTGTAATCCCCCGATCACCATGCCAAGTTCAATGAATAATATCCTGATCCATATCGGAACTACTAATCCCCAATGGATCAGGATATTATTATTGCTAATTTCGGCATGGTCCGTATAATAAAAGCTACTTTTGTATCATAAAGTCTTAACAAGACTATATATTACAGCTGTTCACATAAACTTTGGGACAATGAAAAAAATGCCGATGACCTAATCGATCAATTTCCGAGTTCGGCCGAAATCGGTTGATCCGGTATCAGAAAATTTTTCTATTATCCCAGAATTTGAGAACAGCTGCTAATTAGCTAGCATTGATTCTCACTTTACCTTCCCGAAATACCATTTCCCGACCCCTAATTCTGATATCCTCTTTTTCCTGACAAGACATATTTCTGATAGTATATTTTACTGATAGAAATTTTTTACGGAATTTTTTTCCTGACACAACCAATTCTCTGACAATCTGAATTTCTGAAAAATTTTATTCAACAGATTTCACCGACAAATATTTTGATATATTTCCCGGAAGGATGTTTCTCCGAAAAGATGTTTTTCTGAAAAGATATCCTCAAAAAGAAACTTCCCAACAAGAAAGATGTTTTATCGGTTGAACAATATTGCATGGCCGACTCAGGCTAACTTTGTCGGTGAAATGGCTGTCAGTCAGTGAATGGTTGTCGGTTTAAACCTTTTTCGAGTTATCAGGTGACCCAGAATTTATAAAAATAGCTGTAAATCGGTAAAACATCCTTCAGTAAAAGAGCTTTCAGTAATATTTTTCAAAGAGATAGAATGTCAGAAAAATGTACCATTCTGATAAATGGCATGTCAGTAAAATAAACATTCATCTTTTTAATATTCGGTGAAATGGAATTGCAGATAAATGACTTATCAGTATCAATTAAATGATATTTCGATAAAATGAGACTTTCGTAATTATGTCTTGTTAGTAAAATGGGATGTCAGTATTATGATTTCGGTGAAATGGTATTTCAGGAAGTTAACCCGTAACCATTGATTAGACTTTTATAATAAAACATATTGCACGAAGTTACATGTTAAAAAAAGATCCTATATATAACGATAAATAAATATTACTTTTATTTGTATATAAAAGTTGGTTCGTAACCAGTGTTGGAAATCATATGCTCACAGTGTCACAAGAATATAAATACTTTAAAATATCAAAATTTTTTATTTTATGTTCAAATTTATAAACATAAATAACTTTTATCTAATTAATAAAATTCTATTTATGATCATTATTTTTTTTAACGTGAACATAATAAAAAAAACAAAGTATGTTAACAAAAATCGCCATACTGTCCTTTGAATTTTCAACACTGTTCGTAGCCCTTCAAATTGTCATAACATCTAATCAGAGTTCCATCTCAGGTTGTAATTCATACAAACACCAATCAGGTTTTTTTCATTAAAGGGTTAAAATATTTTGTATCATTCATGTTCAGTGAACTATGGTTCTGAAAGTAATGGAGGCATCCATATTTTTGAAAGTGCTTGAGAACCCGACTTATAAAATATACAATTTTTCGGTCTTCTATATATATATATATATATTCAAATATTTTCCAACGAAGATGCTTTGAAGTATATTCAATAATATTTATGTTATTTACCTGATCTTAAATTACGTATATATATGAATTTTATTGAATTTATTATCCGAAATCACAAACTTAATCGAATTGGCTGAAAAATCATTCGGTCAATTTTTATCAAATTATGAAAATAGCTGTAAATATACCATTTTTTGCCGGCCGGCCGGGTCCTATTTGCTTGCCCCATGTAACGAGAAACAACTAATTTAATTTGCAAGCCTTAATAACTCTGAAGCGCAAAAAGTAAAAGGGTGATATCTATATTAGAGATGTTATCCTGCTTAAACTGGTTAGTTTGTGCTTCAAACCCGATTAAACATTGTTTGTTCCAAAGCACATATATCAAACAAGCTTCGAACTATGCTTATACAAATGCACCGGAAGTTATGCTTGATTGAGCATGTTAGTTTGAACACAGTTGCTATAAGCTTCATATTCGTATCGATATTGATTTTTTATTTTTAATCGTAATATCTTATAGTTAACGTTTGATCATTTTATCTATCCGAATGATTTTGCCCTAAAATTAAACCATGAAACTTTCTGTTCAAAAAACTGATTTCGAACTTAGTTCAAGCACGATAAGTTTTAAATTTTATAGTAAAGATCACGTGGCAAAGTAATTTTGTAAGTAATAATGACCTATGACTTATCCCTTACTTAATATTAAGTAATATTAAATAATTATTAGATACAATTATCTATTACGTGTACATATAAACACATGATAAAAGTCAGAAACGGGTGAACAAAATTGAGATTGAACGAAAAGTTGTTACTAATGATAAAATTATTGTAAAATTACTTAATAATATAAAGTAATATTAAGTAACTGACTTTGCCCATCTCTATGCTTAACTGGTTTCGGTTTCAAACAAGGCCGAGCTGAGTTTGGATAAGCCATAATTCCGGGTCTGAGGATGATCGACCATGAAGATCTAAAGTTTAAAGGTTTTTTAAAACTTTAAGGCCATATTTCTCGAATACTTAATTAATTTTAGTGAATTTTTTATTTATTTTTTATTTATTTACTTTAATCTATACGTTAATGTCGAATTTAGTTAGTTGTTGAGAAAACTTCGCTTAAAAATTTGAAAAAAGTCATAAATCTGAAAAAAAGCCGTAGTAAAATTTCTTTTTTTTAACTTAAAGCGAAGATTTCTCAATGGTTATCTAATCAAATTTTGTGATATTTTTTTTATTTTAAGTCTATTGACCCATATAATTAAAATAATTTTTTTTTTTTTTTACCGAATTTAATTAGGTGGTCTCTAAGAAATCTTCGTTCAAATTTTTAATAAAAAACTTACCGCAGCTTCTTTTTTATACGTACTAAAACTTTAAGCGAAGATTCTCGATGAATATCTAACCAAATTCGATGAATGATTTTTATTTTAATTATATATAACCATAAAATTAAAATGAAAAAAATTTCATAGAATTTGATTAGATATTCATCGAGAAAACTTCGCTTAAAATTTTAGTATCCGTAAACAAAAAGCTGCGGAAAATTTTTTTAATTTTTAAATAAATATTTCTCAGCAATACATAATCAAGTTTGGTAAATTTTTTTTTTATTATTTCGATTCTACAAATACGTAGAATTAAATTATAAAGTTTTCATTGAATTTGATCATGTTTTCATCGAGAAGTTTCAGTTTAAAGCTTAAAAAATTTTAAGTCAAAGAAAAAAAAGAATAATAAATTTGGGTTTAAATTTTAAACTAAGATTTCTCGATGAAAATTTTTTTATTTTAATTCTAAATGTTTGTAGAATCAAAATAAAAAAATTTTATCGAATTTGTTTATGTAGTCACTGAGAAATATTATTTAAAGCTTAAAAAAAAATTGCTGCAGCTTTTTTTTTACGGATACTAAAATTCTAAGCAAAGTTTTCTCGATGAATATCTAATCAAATTCTATAAATTTTTTTCATTTTAATTCTATAATCATATATAATTAAAAAAAAAAAATCATCGAATTTTGTTAGAGAAATTTGGTTAAATAACCATTGAGAAATCTTCGCTTAAAGTTGAAAGAAGAAATTTTACTAATTTTTTGCTTGATTTTTAATCTTTTTCAAGGTTAAACGAAGTTTTCTCAACGATTATTAAACTAAATTCGACAAAAAATTTATTTTAATTCTATTAATAACTTATAGAATTAAAATAACTAAAATCAGTTAAAAAAACCTCTAAGTTTTAAAAGGATTTTCATAGCCAACGACGTATTTCGACGTAAACCGTTTACTAGAAAACGAAGAAAACTGCTTAAAGAAGCTTACAAGCCAATAATTGCATACAAAAAATTTATCGCATAAAGTTAGAAAATAGATAGATAAGCGTAAAGTGAGATGAATGTAATATTTATTATTAAGAGTTAATGCGTGTAGCGAAACTATCTTTATTTTTTATTTCTTTTGAAAAAATCAATTTTATTTCATTATCATGGCCTTTATTAGAGATATAACACGACCTTTAGCTCATGTGATTAATGAAACAATAATACTCATACAGTATACATATTATCAACATACTACTTAACCTGAAGTTAATCACGTATCTAACACATTTAGAATATGCCAATTTATTTTCACCATAAAATAAAACTAAAAGTTACAATTATATTGCTCGGTAATTACATGAGTATAAAGTGATTAACTTTTATATTTTTGTGATCATATAATAACTTCATGTTACTACTATTGATTCGCTTACTTCAAAAGAAAGCGTCGAATTTTGGTTAATGCAGTTAACACTGCCATCCTTCCCTCTGGGTCCGCAAGATCAAGACCACTTAGTTCATCATTCTCTCCTGGCCATCTTTTGATTGAAACTGAATATTTTTTTGGTAACCCTGTGACAAGTTCTTTCCAATATCCCCCCGGAATCTCAGCCTTGTAGAAAGTAACATAGGTAGAGATAAAACGAACGGCAAATAAAACCTGATCAAAAATCTTACGAGTCCTACGGTCATTTTCATCGCTGCAAGCAAGAATTTCGCCAGCAATTTGCATTTCTCCATATTCATTTCTTTTGCTAACGTTTTGTAAACTTTTATCCTGTCAAAGATTTATTTAAGTAATCAAAAATTATTGACTTGCCAAACAATAAAAAAAAATACATACTTCTGAAATAACCATAGAGATTGTTCTTTTTTTAACCACAAAATTGGGAGTTGCAGAAACAAAGGGCTCATTTAAAATATGTAGCTTACTTGTTTGCTGTTGTCTGATTTTGATGAAAGAAAATTCAAGAAGTCATTAGAATAAGGTAATAGGACACAGGATTTCTCAAGTTACTCACTCTAATATCAAAGGATAATTATTCATCCGAACGATACGAAGAACTAAGTTATCAGTTTTGGACTCAGGTATTCCAACAGCCGTTATGTGAATGAATATTCATGCATTGTATTGCCAATTCTTTGTAACAACTAGGAAACGTTGAAATTACACAACTGATTTTTCACGCGGTGTGAAACACATAAAAAAATTATTTTACAATACTTGATC